AAAAGTTATGATTTGAGAAAAAAGAATTCATAAAACTTAATATTTTCTTTAACACACCCGATAAACAACCATAAATAGTATGTCTAACGCAAGGACTCATCTGTACCAATCTATTGAAAATTATAAAAAAGATACAGGTGTACATTTTTTCGAATTTTAGTAAGAATTAGTAAAAAAAGTAAATTTTCTCATAAAAACACAAAATAAATTATAACTCTGCAGGGTGTCGTGAAGCGACAAATAAAAAAAATAAAAAAAATAGAACCTAACCTAAGTACAACAAAACAACAAAGGTAGAGCCAGAAAACAATATATTTAAATTTATAAAAGGTATTTACAATTTTATAAAAAAAATGATGTGAGGATGATGATGAATGAAGTGAGAATACAATTAGATTATAAAAAAATAAAGGTGAGAGAATAGGGGAATATAGCGTTGAAGTGGGGCCTAAAAGTCGAAGCGACACACGTTGCGTTTGTAGAAGTAGGTTTCTTAGCAGCGACGGCACGCAGCGCCTGAAGCCAGCACACGCCGTTTGCGCTTGTAGAAGTAGGTTTCTTAGCAGCGACGGCGCGCAGCGCCTGGAGTCAGTACGCGCAGCGTCCGGAGCCGGCGCACGTAGCGCCTGGAGAAGGGGCGCGCAACGCTTAGAGCCAGCAGTTGCAGCGCCCAAAGGTAGCGCCGGCGGTAGGTGCACTCGGCGCCTGGAGTAAGTAGTAGTAGTGCCCGGAGTAGTGTGGCCCCCGCGCTTGTAGTAGACTCGAAGCGACTTCCGAGGTAGATGGAGGCTTGTAGGATTCCGGAGTGGCGCGGCCCGAGTTTGAAGAAGGCTTCGCCGAAGACTTCACGTGTAAATGGAGGCTTGCAGGATCCCGGGGCAGTGCGGCCCCGGGATAAGGCCTTTAGGAGATACTTCCAATTCGCGAACTGAAGCGAGACTGCCTTTCTTCACCGATTGTTCGGCTTTTATACCTTTCTAGAGAGAACGGAAAAATTATTTAAATTATACGCAATTTTTTTGTAAATGGTCAAGAGAAAAGAGGATTTATGTGGAATTATCGAAATAGGAATAACAGATCGGTAGCAAATTTGAATATAATTACCATGGAAACGATATAAATAAGAAAGACAAAATATGTCAAATTTTTGTTTTTGGTTTATAATAAGAAAACGGTAAGATTTAAGTGGAAAATGAGATATTATTGATATAGGAAAAAAGGTAGCGCAGCTGCCCACACAAAGCTCGAGATTGTAGAATTACGGAAAACTAGCTAAAAGATCGAAAAAAGTAGACTCCATTGACACCAATTTAAAAGTGCTGATAATGTGAAAATACGAAGTAGAAATGATTTGTTATTGTGTTCTTATGGTTTAAAATCGTTACAGGATCCTATGGAAATAAAGGTGATGTAAAATATCCAGTTTTGAGGTGAATGCAGAAAATCGAAACAGAATGGAAAAATGAATTTAAAATAATGTAAAATGATACGTAAGTAGTATAACACTACATTTTCCCCCCGACCCTGGAAAATTTTTTTCTCAGCAAAAATTTTGATATATACATTCTAAAATAAACCATAAAAACACAGCTTTGCAGAAACAGACATCACCAGGCAAAATCAGATATACTATCTCTTACATACATCATCTGCCATTCAGGTAAGGGTGGAGTTCACATTCAATGACTACCACTCTAAAAGTGTGTTTTCAAAACGACATTAAGGCTTATTTAAGGAGTAGTCATCCGCTCCTGCGTGGAAAAAAAAAATTAGTCGAAGAAACACCACTCTTAAAAGTGTGTTTTCGAAAGGACATTCAGGCTTATTTAAGGAGTTGTCATCCGCTCCTGCGTGAAGATAAAAAAAAAATTATTAAGGGAGTAGTCAGCCGCTCCCAAGTGAAGATAAAGATAAAGAAATCAATCTTAAGCAAGCTTTAGTCGCTATGACTTAAGTAAAGATTAAGAACGGCCAGAGCGGTAGGGCTCAAAGCCAGAGATCAGCAACATCACTAGCGAGATGTGTCTGAAATAATAAGAAGTGAAGATTAACCTACCAAACAAACAAACAAATTAAAAGAAATAATAACAAGGTGAAAATGATGGTGATATTTATACATATATACAAATTAAATGTGATATTTATACATATATACAAATTAGCAGTTAATAAATGTTTAGATATTTATACATATATACAAATTAACAGTTAGTAAATGCTTAGAAAAGTTATGAATCGTCTCGCTTCAGCTTTGAAAAACAATTTTATATAAAGTGTAAAGTTCAAAGTTAAGTTTAAGAAATAAAGATTTAATTGAAAAGTTATACCTCTTTAAGTTACCTAGAATAAAAATATTAGAGTGATGAATGTAAGTGAAGTGTTGAATGTAGGTCTAAATATAGTCTAGATAAGTTGAAACACTAGATGAAGTTTTGTTTTGGAATTTGGAAAGTATGAAAAGGATGAATAAATGAATGATGAATAATGAGTTAAGAACGAAAGGGAGAGCAATTAAATCAAAAGGGAATGGACAAAGCGCAGTAAAGGTGAAGAATTAAGAGAGAAAGAGGACTTTTACGTTGGGCGCCAAATGTCGTGAAGCGACAAATAAAAAAAATAAAAAAATAGAACCTAACCTAAGTACAACAAAACAACAAAGGTAGAGCCAGAAAACAATATATTTAAATTTATAAAAGGTATTTACAATTTTATAAAAAAAATGATGTGAGGATGATGATGAATGAAGTGAGAATACAATTAGATTATAAAAAAATAAAGGTGAGAGAATAGGGGAATATAGCGTTGAAGTGGGGCCTAAAAGTCGAAGCGACACACGTTGCGTTTGTAGAAGTAGGTTTCTTAGCAGCGACGGCACGCAGCGCCTGAAGCCAGCACACGCCGTTTGCGCTTGTAGAAGTAGGTTTCTTAGCAGCGACGGCGCGCAGCGCCTGGAGCCAGTACGCGCAGCGTCCGGAGCCGGCGCACGTAGCGCCTGGAGAAGGGGCGCGCAACGCTTAGAGCCAGCAGTTGCAGCGCCCAAAGGTAGCGCCGGCGGTAGGTGCACTCGGCGCCTGGAGTAAGTAGTAGTAGTGCCCGGAGTAGTGTGGCCCCCGCGCTTGTAGTAGACTCGAAGCGACTTCCGAGGTAGATGGAGGCTTGTAGGATTCCGGAGTGGCGCGGCCCGAGTTTGAAGAAGGCTTCGCCGAAGACTTCACGTGTAAATGGAGGCTTGCAGGATCCCGGGGCAGTGCGGCCCCGGGATAAGGCCTTTAGGAGATACTTCCAATTCGCGAACTGAAGCGAGACTGCCTTTCTTCACCGATTGTTCGGCTTTTATACCTTTCTAGAGAGAACGGAAAAATTATTTAAATTATACGCAATTTTTTTGTAAATGGTCAAGAGAAAAGAGGATTTATGTGGAATTATCGAAATAGGAATAACAGATCGGTAGCAAATTTGAATATAATTACCATGGAAACGATATAAATAAGAAAGACAAAATATGTCAAATTTTTGTTTTTGGTTTATAATAAGAAAACGGTAAGATTTAAGTGGAAAATGAGATATTATTGATATAGGAAAAAAGGTAGCGCAGCTGCCCACACAAAGCTCGAGATTGTAGAATTACGGAAAACTAGCTAAAAGATCGAAAAAAGTAGACTCCATTGACACCAATTTAAAAGTGCTGATAATGTGAAAATACGAAGTAGAAATGATTTGTTATTGTGTTCTTATGGTTTAAAATCGTTACAGGATCCTATGGAAATAAAGGTGATGTAAAATATCCAGTTTTGAGGTGAATGCAGAAAATCGAAACAGAATGGAAAAATGAATTTAAAATAATGTAAAATGATACGTAAGTAGTATAACACTACAAGGGGTTGACCTTAAGGACCCCCCGTAGAACAATTTTTTGCAGCTGATGACCTCATCTAACCCCTAGTTGCGTTTGATCCACGACTGTTTGGCCACCCTGTATATTTTCATATTTAAGTTTGGGTTCCAAAATGTTAAATGTTTTTTTTTTTGTCATTCGAAGATACTTTATTCAAATTTCACGTCATGTTTCATTAGTTGCTTCTGAATAAGCGTATGAAATGCACCATAATCTGCTTTTTCTGTTAACACGGAATGTACCCAATATCGTCTTGGTATTTTTATCGTTTTTTTTTTGCTTTTTATACATGTGCCACGAAATAATACATTTTCTCTTTTTAACACTCAACATTTTGTACGTCCACCATTCACAGAATAAAAAGAGCGTATAAAGGCTACACCTTCATGAAACCGGGCCGTGTACAAACCGTCTTGTGTGCAAGCTCGGATGGCTTCTACCCGGCGCCGGCAAAAAACCGGGCCGCGTTAAAACCGTCTCGTGGGCATGAGCCCTAAATATTGTAAAACAAATAAACAAAAAGTACATAAACAAATAATCTAGTTTATGTGATGTTAACTCTGTTGGCCTATATGGCTCTTACAACTTTATTGGATTCAGGGCTAAAAAAATTGGGGGATTTTTTTAATATATATACTGACCCATTTTACTGTAAAAGAGGTATTTCATCTTAGTCTTCACGGGTGACAACGCATCTGCATTTTGATTCTTTATTGAGGATAAATGTAGATGTCTATAGGTCACAGCAACCACTTACCATCAGATGGATGGTGTGCTCGTTTGTCACCCTATCCTATTGTAAGTACACATTACTTAGGTTACATTTACTGTAAAAATTATTTTATTGTCAGAATTACTAATTAGGTAAATAATCTATAAAATAAATAATAAATTTGAATGCAGCCCTGTAAACATTTTTGACAGCCGGTTGTCTATGGGCGCCGGATGCCGGCTGCCGTCTATACTCTTTGGGTGCCGGTTTCCAAGTTCCAATTCCAAGGAATTGTTTAAAAATTACCAACGACAGTAATGAAAAATACCTCCTTTTTTGTGGTTAAAGGAACTTGACATTATAAATAAATTCAGTTACTTATTTTCTTATAACATGGAAGCTTCAGAATTAGTAAATTTTAACAGGTATGTAAATATACAAAAATTCTTACTCGTTATTTTGAATTTGAACTTGCGCGCTGTATTATACTATTGATTTTTTACCAAAATAACTTCAGTATCATGTAAATAAATCATAAAGGTGTTCTACAATACGCCGTGTATTTGCGTTAATGGTTTATAAAATTTATATAGACGGCTAGTAAATTTGTCAATGATTCCATAACGATTCACTATTGTTTAGGGTTTGTGAAACGGATACACCAAATTTGACGCCAGTGAAACCTAGACTAGGTAGATTTGTGGATGTTTATTCACCTGAGCATCTAAATTTGACGCCGAAAACCGTAAGTTCTTTGTGCATATTATACTTGTTTTTTCTTTTAATATTTTTATTAATAACTCAAATTAAATCTTACAGAAACCTCAACTTGGTTTCGCTGAAATAACTAATGAAAACCACAACTTCCTTACTCCTGCAAAAACATTGCAATATGACAATAAATGCAGGTGAGCTTTAAAGACATTTATAAATATGTATGTTTAAATATAATATATTTCTAAGTTGTTTCATTAATCACTGTAAATTTACTTGTAAGGTGTATGAAATTGTAAAACTTGTTAGAAAAATGGTGTACTTTCTTTAATTTAAGGACTGCCAAAGTCCAGCCTAAACTACGAGATGTATGGAATCACTCATTTGAAGGCAATCAAAGCTTCCCTCGTATAAGACGCAAGATACATCCACTAAGAATGGATTTAGAGACTCCTACTAAAGTGAAACAAACAACTGACTTAGTAAGAGGTAAGTAATGTTTTCCTACTGCTGGAAATCTTATTATATATTTGTTATGCATGCTGCATTTAGCAGATGCATTCATAATCACAGTATTATATTTTATAAATTATTACATAATAACAGATATTTCACTTTTAATACTGCTCCATATTCTAGTCTAAATATTGATCTGATTTAATTTTTGCAACTTTGTATGATTAATCTCTTGAACACAATATTGTCAGAAGCAACTGTCTGTTAGTAATTCTAGGTCAGAAATGCTACTATATCTTAAATACTAGTTTATATTCATCCAAATTCAGAAAAATGAAAAGGTTCTATAAATTAATGTTTTTCTTTTGTAGAATAAGTGCGACAAACGAGCACAGTCCACATAATAGTGCATTTTGATTAAGAATCAAAATACAGATGTATAGTCCCCCTGAAGACTAAGATGGAATGCCTTGTTTCCAGTAATAAGGTCTCTAGTTCTCTATACTTACCAAAAACAAAACACAGCAGCATTATGCTGGTATTTCACTCTGGTATTCTGTGAGAGTGTGGTTATACTCCAATCGAGCTGATTCATTTGCTCTACAACCATAACCACTTAACCGTCCACCTTGCGCAAGTGATTCTCATCTGACCTGTCCGCGCATTAAATACCACTATTTTTTTACAACCGCACGAGACTGTCTTAACAAAAACGATTACTACTGAAAAACTACTATAGCTACATTCAAATAAAAAATAATAATAAATATTCAAATTCAAATAAAATCAAATAAAACACATCAAAGCCTAAATAGCACTAACAAAGTTCCGATGTTAAAGCAGCATATATAGAATAGCTCCGAACTATCAATCGGAGCGTTGGCCGCTCCCCGGGCAGCACACCTTGCCCGCATGAGATCTCCCCTTTTCCTTTCACCTCCACAGTAGTGACCCCGACGTGATATGAACACGCAACCAACAACCTTCGGAAACTACAACTTCAAAAACCTTTGTCATCGTCCTCAAGTACCCTATTCATTCACTCCCAAGCAGATATTGTCTCCAGTCTTCACATTCTGCAAGCCATCTAGCTTTACAAAGGTTCATCGCAGCACTGGCATAATAATGCTTCCTGTTCCTTCAAGCTACTCTCTGCGCTACAGTGTTCAGCGCGACTCTGAGCCTTACTGCTCGCCTCTGCTTCACGGCACTCTCGCAGATTACTTGCCTTTTTCTCAACTCACCTCAGACTTACAAGGCAATTCCCTGGCACTTGCAAATTCGTCAACATCTAGACTGCACTATCGACCTCTGGTCTGAGCAGGGGGGTGATGTGGCGGCGCTGTCGTCGCGCCACCAGCGAAAGACATAGAAGCCTAAACCGCACTAACAAAGTTCCGAAGTTAAAGCAGCATATATAAGAAAAAGTTCGGGAGAAACGACCTCGCAGTAGGATCCTCCTTCACTACGACAATGCCTCGTCGTACACCGCTAAGCAAACAATCGATTACTTGGCGACGTCAGACGTGGATTTACTGGGTCACCTGCCCTATAACACCAACCTCGCACTTTGCGATTTTTATTGATTTCCGAAAATAAAAGAAAAATTTCTTAAAAAAGATGTATATGGACACTATTTTGAAAAGATAAGAGTAATAACTTGCTAGTTTGTTCAGTTTGTGATTTTTTAAGAACTTTAAGTGTTACCCTTGTACCTACTCATGTATATAAATTCCTGACAAGTCTCGTATTCCGTCAATGTAACAATCACAGTCTTTGAAGGTAGTTTCAAAGGCCTCGCAGTCGCATTTAAGGGGGGCTTCGTGCGAGGCCCCAAACAAACACACTTTAACTTTTTCAAGGGTAAAAGTGATCAAATTATTTAGTCATCTGTGGTAAAGTTTTAGGGGGTCTCGCGAGGGTCCTTTTAGTGCGAGGCTGTGGGCGAGGGCCCACTTCGCCCACACGTAGCTACGCCACTCTTAAAATCTGTTGTGATCACCATAGTGGGGTTATTATCATCCATAAATTCCTTGATATTATAATAACCCTTTTTATACAAACTTAGTTTCTTAAAGTTTTTGAACTTTGAGCAGGTTTTGTATATTTTCTGGGATTTTGTTAAGGTGTGTGTTGTTGTAATTGTGTGTGAGTGTGATATATTAAGTAAATGCTCTCATTGAATAATATTAACAATATTGTAGACACAATAAAATATGTTTTCAATTAGCGAGCAATTTTTTATGGGTGTAAGTGTTGATTTTTTTACAAAATTGACTTGAAAAAGTATTTCTTAACGTTAAATTGTTGATTTTTACTTGAAAATAATTAAATATATTGCTGCATGACTATTACAGTTCCTGTTTTTGATTAACATGCATTACCTGTCTGTATATGTATAAAAAATATACCAGATTCCAAAATACAATCAAAAAAATGAACATGTCTAAATAAGGTTCGGTTTCGGCCGAAATTGACACCCAGACCGAAGGTTCGTTTTCGGTTTCGGTTTCGGTTGAACATCCTGTTTCGGTCAGACAGTACTCAATATACATAAGTATATAATGTTTACCTAATATAAATTTGAATAAATAAATAAATAAAAATAAATTTACAACAGATATTTCGTTTATAAATTGCTATCAACATGTTAATAGGGGATGAAGACTTTAATTTTAGATTAAAGAAATGTAACTTTATCTAAGGTTTTTTTATTACTATTTTTATTATTTAATTATAGGTCAACTATATATTATGTTAATGTTAGTAAACAAGTAAATATTACGAAATCAATTTTTTTATCATATTACTACATGTACTTCCACATTTACAGTTGATGGTCCAAATGGCCTCCGCTTCAACACTTCTTTAGCAGTAGGTGATGTTGCTGGCTCACCAGCACAGTCCCAAACCGAACGCTTGCAGCAATCCATCAATCCGAGCAAGGCTGTATTTACCATAGAGCCAAGTACTTTTAAGGTATATAAGTTTTTTTTTTTATAAAACTGAAGTCACTAACAAAGTTACAGTCCAATTACTAGTAATGGACTAATACAGTCCGTGGACACTTACAGCCAACTTTGAACAAAAAAGGCTACAGATGTGTGCCACTTTGATGACTAAGATGGAATGCCACACAACCTGTAAATATGTTAATGTATATGCTAACATGCTATATAATATTATGCTAAAACAAAGGAAAGATAGTAAATACCAATTCATCTGAGCCCTGAGAACTCTGGTCCCTTTTCTGCTTCTTAAATCCATATATTTATTGATATGCTGATCGAATTTGGGTCATCAACTATGTTTTATCACAAACAAACCTAAAAATTGAACATGTAAACATGATCTTGGTAAAATGACATGGTAAAATGATTGATACAATAGCTTAAGATTATACTAGATGAGGCAGCTGACCTTATCATAATGATTTTAATATTTCAGATACTCATAGTAAACAACAAAGCATGCTCTCTTTTGGGCTATTCATCAGGAGAATTGTGTGGTCTCCGCTTCTCTGATCTTCTCCGCAACAGAAATTGTAAGACCTTTAGTTTACATGAACAAGAAGATGGTGATGCATCTGAAGATGGAACTATTGTTTTACTTAGTGGCAAGGTACTAATTTTAACATTACATGATGTATTTAAATTTGTGGTTAGTTTTCAATTCAATGAAATTACCTAACTACTCAATGAAACCTGAAAACTAATATTTTACTTGGATCAAATGTTTGCTTTTGCGGGGTTTTGAAATCAGAATCAATGTTTAAATGGCAAATCAAATAAAAGGTCTTATTTTTAGGAAAATACTATTATCTTTTTCATAAGTTGTTTAAATATCTGGATTTAACTTTAACTAACCAATAGCTCAAAATAATTGTTTTAAAAACTTAACTTTTATCTCTGCAGTTATGCAATCATCGTCATTACAGCTCCATCACAAGTCCTCTGCTGAACATAGGCCTCCCTCAAGGAATGCCACAAAACATAGTCCTGAGCTATGCATCCATTGACTTTTAGCATCTCTTACCAGGTCGTCACCCCATCTAGTTGGGGGACACCCTACACTTCACTTCCCGCTATGAGGCTGCCACTTAGAACCTTTTTCTTCCCCATTTAATTGCTGGTTCGATCTATACAGCTGGCTCATTGCCATTTCAGCTTACTGATCCGTTGTTCTGTGTTGGTTACTCTGTTTCTACTGTGGATATCCTCATTACGAATTCTATCGCGCAGAGAATCCTCTCCATAGCTCGCTGAGACTCTCCGGACTCGGGACTGTAGCACCGCCCAATTTCGACAGAATCAAAAGCCTACATAAGAGTGGCAGAATGTACCCTTCTGTCTACTGTATAATTTGCCGAATGTATGTAGCTTATAGTAGTAAGGCTCTTATGGAAACTGGTGAATTATATAAAAAACAAAAAATTATTTATTGGTCATTCTTGTATTTATTTTATAAACAACTTAAATCATTAAATTTCCTAGGTTTCTTGTTCATGGTAAGTTTTCTCACTGCCAATATTTTAAGCTAGACAAAGGTCATTAAGAATAATGCATCAAAAGATATTATTTAGAATTAACTTTTTAGGTGGTGGAACTTCTAACTAAAGATGGAACATCTGTGCAAGTCTCTTTGTGGATAAGACAGTTGGACAATGATGGACCCTGCTTAGTTGTTGCAGAACCCGTCAGCTGCAAAAATGTAGTGGTAAATATATTTATATCTAACATAAATCATCATCATCATCATTACAGCCTTTGTCCACTGCTGAACATAGGCCTCTCCCAAGGAATGCCACAAAGCACGGTCCTGAGCCACCTGCATCCATCGACTTCCTGCATGTCTTACCAGGTCGTCACTCCATCTCGTGGGGGGTCGCCCTATACTTCGCCTACCGGTACGAGGCTGCCACTCAAGAACCTTTCTTCCCCATCGGTTGTCAGTTCTTCGAGCTATATGGCCGGCCCACTGCCACTTCAGCTTACTAATCCGTTGGGCTATGTAGGTTACTCTGGTTCTACTGCGGATATCCTCATTCCTAAGTTTATCACGCAGAGAAACTCCGAGCATAGCCCTCTCCATAGCTCGCTGAGCGACCTTGAGCTTCCTCATACGGCCAGCCGTGAAGGACCACGTCTCAGTTCCGTAAGTCATCACTGGCAACACGCACTGGTTGTACAATTTCGTTTTAAGGAGATTGTACAACCAGTACGTGTTGCCAGTGATGACTTATGGATTTGAGCCGTGGTCCTTCACTAGTGGCCGGATGAGGAAGCTCAAGGTCGCTGAGCGAGCTCCATAGCTTTCCGAGGGCTATGCTCTGAGTTTCTCTGCGTGATAAACTTAGAAATGAGGATAACCGCAGTAGAACCAGAGTAACTCACATAGCCCAACGGATTAGTAAGCTGAAGTGGCAATGGGCCGGCCATTTATCTCGAAGAACCGACAACCGAAGGGGAAGAAAGGAAAGGAAACGGCGGACGAAGTGTAGGGCGACCCCCCATTAGATGGAGTGACGACCTGGTAAGACATGCAGGAAGTCGATGGATGCACATGGCTCAGGACTGTGCTTTGTGGCCTTGTGATGGGCTGTAATGATAGATTAGGAAGACATATTTGTTAAAGATTTTCTTTATAACATTAAATAAAATAATGATTAAATTATGAATAAGTATTTACTATACTACCATACTTTTTTTTCTTTCTTTTTTTTATAGGATAAGGGTGACAAACGAGCACACAGTCCACCTGATGGTAAGTGGTTGCTGTGGCCCATAGACATCTACATCTATCTTCAATTAAGAATCAAAATGCAGATGCGTTGTCAGCCGTGAGGACTAAGATGGAATGCCTCGTTTCCAGTAAAAAGGGTCTCCGGTTCTCTACACTCACCGTAGCGTTAAGCTGCTATTTTACGCTGGTATTCTGTGAGAGCGTGGTCCTTCCCCGATCGAGCTGACACATTCGTGCTACAACCATAATATAGCTGCAGATTAGCTCTACCACGTAAAAAACACACTACTAACATACTATATAATACTAACATATTGATTTGGTTTTTTTTCATTTGCTATCAGCAATAAGACCGCCCATTGCATACTTCTTATATATATATATAATTTCTGTAATTTATGTATGGTGTGCAATAAAGAATATTAAATAAAATAAATAATAAATAACATACCTACATAATTTTAACAGAAACCATACCTAAAAATGTATGTTAATTTTTAATATATTGTTACAGTTGACAGTGGATGCAGAGACAGGTATCATTGTGTCTTGCGATGGTGGCGATGCCGCTCTACTGTTCCAAGCCGACTCGGCCGACAAGTTAATCGGCTTACCCATCGCCTCTCTCATACCTTCTATACAATTGCCAACTTATGATGCACCCATTCCAAAGAATATTTCCAAACAAAAGGCTACAGGTAATCAACATTATTTTTCTGGATTTTTTTTTTTGTAAAATTGAAGTGACAAACGAACTTACGTTCGTACTGATGGCATGTGGCTATTGCAGCCCGTGAACACCTGCAACCAGTGATGGTTACAGATGCATTATCATAGCTGAAGGCTAAGATGGATGACTCTCAGCCTGAAATTATACTGACTCTTTATCTCCATCAATCATCAAAGCCTTTCTAGCTGTATGTGCTGTTAAGGGCAGAGATAAGTAAGAGGGCGGTACCTACCCAGAGAAACTCCTGGGCGGAAAAGTTCTACAACCTAATAGGATAGTTCTTGATTGACCCCTTATTACGTCGCATAGTAGATGAATGTTGGTAGATATTTGTTTTACAAAATAGTTTATATTTAAACAATTATGATATTCGTTAGGCTTAGGTATATCTAAGTTCATATTACAATGAGAGGAAAAAAATATGTTTTGTATACTAATATAAGAAGAAAAAAAACTTAACTATGTTAATTATTCTGAGAGTTTCGATATATCTAGGTTTGAACGGATAATAAGCACTTTACTGTCGTCTGTTTTACGCCAGTAGATCAATCCATTTTTGCACCATACATATTTATGCGAAGTCTTGAGACTATTCCTGGTGTTGTAATATAGGGTCTTCATGTAAGGAGATAGTGCTTCTCGAATAAAGATTCTTATTCCAGCTTGTTCACTCGGTACGTTTTTACCAAATACGCTTAGGGTAAGTTGAGCTTTTTTACCCGCTTCTATCCACTGGTCCCGGGTGTCTTTAGATCTCAATTCCACTATAATGTTGCCTGGATTTTCCCTGCGGGTCGGAAGTCGTCGTGCACAAACTATTGAGCCAGTGTCGAGATGGAGCTTCTTTGCAATCTCTTGAGTTATAGTGACCTCATTTGCTTTAACGTTAGAAGTAATACCTGATATTTCTAGAGAACATGAAAGCGTCCGCTGCTCCATTTCTCGTATTTCTTGTTCGATGGCTGCAATTTGGACTTCAAAATGTTTGTTTTTATTATGAGAATCATTACTTTTGGTTTCCAACTTCTTTATTCTTGCATCTTGATTCTTTATTGATTCTTCGATTGCTTCCACTTGATGTCCTAGAAACTCCAATGAGCTCTTGACTCCATCCAATTCTTTTTTGAGAATTCTATGCATTTGGGTACTAATATCATTGATCAACTTATTGTATTTATCTGACGACCTATTATTCAAGCTAGGAGGTAATTCTTCTTCGTCAGTATCATCATCCATAGTTATCATATAAGAGGACCTTTTTGACGTGTTGTTGATACATTCTTCACAACTCCACTCGAGTCCAGTGGCGTTGCGAAGGGTAGTCAGCTGTTTGTTACTGATATTTTATAATATAATATAATTATATAGCTGGTCAGTGAACAGTTTTTATAATTTAAATTTTTTTTAGAATTGTTTTCTTTATCAGGTTGCTGAATGGCACACATTTTGGATAGAACCCATTCCAAAGACCATCATTATATATACGTTCGACATAAGTCCACTGCTGATTATATGCCTTCCCCAAAGAATACCAAAGAACATGGTCCTGAGCCACCTGCATCTATCATCTCACCAGGTCGTACCTCCATCTAGAGAGGGATCGCACGACACATTAAGGTTGCCAATCGAGAACCTTTTTTCCCCATCAGTAGTCGGCACTTCGAGCTATATGGTGAACCTATTGCCACTTCAACTTACTGATGCGTTGAGTTATGTTGGTTACTCATTACGAAGACAGTCATGCAGAGAAACTCCCAGTATAGCCCTCCATAGCTAAGTGACCAGTTTACCTGCACACAATAAAATATTTACATAAGACGGAGTAGCACCCCCGAGCTATAACTTAACTTTTCTGAATTATAGTTATAATTGATGCAATTTTAAAGAAACAGGAAAATTTAATGCAACCAATACCCAAAAAGTATGTACAGCAAAGTCTAAAGATTATACAATGAATAGTTTTGTTGTTAGTGGTTACATATTATAATTTCTATCTCTTACAGAATACTAGTATCTAATAACAGTATAACTTTTTAAATTACTTACAAAATACTCAATTTTAGTCGTCAGAGGTAAAACGCAACTAACCCTTAAGCTAACATAATTATCTTAATTGTTGAGAGTTGGTAAAAGAGTAACAAGTAGCAATCACTGTAGGCTATACAAGTGATGGTGACTGTTTCATGAAGTGATGTGTGCTGGTCATACAACTAATCTTTTATCGGTTGAGTAAGAAGCACATGTTTTTGTGTTTTGTGTGTTTTTCTGATTTATATATTTTCGTTTTGTATCTTAAAATTACAGGTAGAACCTTAGACGGTGGTTCCTTTCCGCTCTGCCTGTGGATAGCGAAATCCACTAATGTTGAAAGCTCACCTTGGTCAGGTATAAAGAGCAACAGGGAGAGATCTGTGTTTATTGTGAATGTTAGGGTATGTATCAATTCATATAAAATTACAATTTTTGATTCACAATGTATATTGCTTGCTTTTACGTGGTAGGGCCGTGCTGCAGCTATATTATGGTTGTATCACGAATGAGTTGGCTCAACGCAGTGTTTCGTATAATGGGTGTAGAGATCCAGAGACCCTTTTTACTGGAAACGAGGCATCTCAGTCCTAAGGGGTGACAACGCATCTGCATTTTGATTCTTAATTGAGGATAAATGTAGATGTCTATGGACCACAGCATCCACTAACGATCAGGTGGAATGTATGTTGTTGTCACCCTTATCATATAAAGAAATATTATATTTTTATACATACAGTTTAAATCGATATTTTAAATATTGTAGTAGACACAATAAACCATAAAAACGACATTGTTAGATTGTTTTTTTTTTATATCTTGTAATTAATTAGATTTCTATGTAGGTAAAGGCGCATAATATTCTATAAGTTTTAAGAGCGTGTACTCGCTAACGAACTGCATACAGTTTGACGAGATAATTTCTGAGATAATGTATTTACCTAATTTTTAGGGTATCAATAAATAAATAAAAAATTACTCGGATACAATGAAATACGCTTTTGATTATTTGTGCGGATACACAAACTTTTGGTTTTACGATGTATAATCAGGTTTATTTTTAATAAAAACAGTTTCCATTTTAGACCACACTAAAAGAAACTGTATAAGTTTATTAATTCATATTATTAAACCATCCTTTAGGTAACATTTAACGTGAGCGGTCTACTCGTCGTTGACGAAACTGGTATCATAACAGCGTGTAACCAACACTTCGCTATGCTCACTTTCGGCAAATCACTCACTGATGTCATCGGCCATCACATCAATGACGTCATTCCGAACTTCTGTCGGGAGTCAGACATGGTTAAAGTGTCTGATAGGAACAGAAATATGACTCTATCACCTGTCAATAATGAGAACAGTGGATCAGGTATGTCGAATAAAAATAAAAAATATATTATTACATAGTGGTACAAAGTATATTCTTTCATTCATTGGATGCTGGTATTTAGGCTGATGTAACAAAATAGAAACAAAAGAATTTGTATATTTGTTCGATACTATGTGAAAGTAGCTTAGGAATTCACTACAAAATAATATCACCAGTAAGTGGTGAATTATTAATAAATAATATAATAATAAACCTTTCTAGATTTCCTTACCAGATCAGATCAAAATATAATTTATAAAATCGCCAAGTCAATAATTTTTTACTGCCATTACCAATAGACAAAGTATGGCAAATAGGGAAATGGCATGTGTACTGTAGTGATTTTATTTATTTATAATAATAATATTTATGTTTTAATATACTATATGGAAAAGCCTAAGATGCTCTAAGAAACAAAAAACTTTTACTATAGTTCAACTTTTAACCAAATCTTTATAATTGATTTTCAGCTTCTGACACAGACGAAGATTCTTGTGGAGCATTTAATGGTAGCCAGAAATCTGCTTGTATGTCTCTTAACGTCCAACAATCTATACAATCCATTTCTACGACAAGAGAGAAATCGTCCAGTGCACTGTGCCTCGACAAATCTTGCAGCCTGATCACTCACACACCAACACCAACACAAGACATGGTCTCAAGTATTAGTACTACTGAACAGCGAAATGACACTTCAGCACTTCCAGACATGACGTCTGGAATGTCTGGAATATCCATAGACGATGAAAACTATTGTCATAGTAGTATCTCGAAGTCTCGATCAGAAAACATACTACGTTCAGAACAAAGTAGTAACCCTAGCAAACAAATATCTTCCAAACCGTCAGAATCCATTTACTACACGTCACAGCATTCTCAAGAAATAACACCTACCGGAAGTACACCTAGAGTACGTTTAAATGATCCATCTTTACGGTTATCCTTCGATTCCAGTAAATACAAATCTTTGAAAGTGAACCAAACTAAAGAAGACAGAAGCAGTATATCATTGGATTTTTGTGATTCGAATGAAACTAGTGCTGACTTTCTTACGCCTATTAACGAGATGCCACTGCCTGGTTGCGAAATTGAAGATCTGCCGAAACATAACGGGAACGAAAGTGTGGACAGTTTAAGTAACGACATTGATTTGGAGACCCAGACTGAATCGGCGCCCAGGAAGAAATTCGAAGGTTGGCACTGTTTGTACACTTTACTTATTCTTCTTTATATCAGCCCTGAATATCAAGGGCTTGGTAGACGGATTGGCGTTAACAATACCAGATGTCTCGCATCTTGACGCTATTCATCACCGTCACCCAGTCTATGTATTTGATATGTCGACAGCCACGGATGATGATAGACATCCCTTATCGGCCCGTGGCTGTCCCGATTTATTTTTCCGGCTATTTTGCGACGCAATTACGCTACAATCATAGAGTTCATTATTCAAAACAAATCTTCATACATACAAGATGTATCCACAAAACGCTGAAAATACGTAAAAGTTTGATCATCCGTCGTTTATACGAAAACCGATATCGCTGTTGCTAAACTTGGTCTTGATCCCACTGATACAAACTTAAAAATATTATAAATTACTGTTGAATTTCGACTGCTAGGTGACTTATGATCTGATGTTGTTCTTTGTTAGACGAGGCGCCTGAGACTCCATGCGTTGCGAAGAGGGCGTTGAGGAACCACGTGACGACGTCGACGCCGCAGCACAGCCGCGCGCTGGGCGGCCGGCCGGGCCACGAGTGCGCGCGCCCGCTCGGCGACGGCACCTACCGCGGCGTCGTGCTGCACAACGACGGCACCGAGCTCAGTAAACAAATATACACATTCATCTCTTCTATTCGCTTAAAATTACTATCCCGTCTAATGACATCCCGTATTTTGCGAACGCATGTATATTTTTAATATTTAATCGAGGATAGATGTGGATGTCTTTGGGCACACAGTATCCAATTACCACCGGGTGGACCTTTATTTTTTTCCACCTTTATTCTATAAAATAAACTCTCGTCATCAGCCCGTAAACAGTCTCCTGTTGAAAATTGGTACCTGAAATTGGTAGTTGAAACACCTGTGATTCCTAAAAGGGTTTGGAGCAACCCGTGCTGTGTTGTATGACTTTTTGTTCCGACTTCCCGAAGTTTTTTACGAACTCAAATATGTAGGCATTCCCTTAGTGGTGCCAAATTCAGCTCATTAGGAGATTTTATATGAGTGTGTCCTTCGTTCAGCTGCCACTATTAATACAGCGACGTATGTGTGATTAATGCTGTGCAGTTGATAATTTCTTTTATTCAATTTTTAGTAAACCACCATCACCTCTTGGACTTCACCTGTTGGAGGTAACTCAGAGACGGACGCAAATGCATTGTCAGTTTTAAGGACTGAAACGGAATGCCTTAAAGCCTATTAATCGGTTCATTGCGGATGACACGCCAGGCGTGCCACCGATTACTTTACTTTTGTGTGTGGCATATGATTCACGAGTCGTGTCATTTTAAAAATCGTTATAACTCGCTCAAATTGCGTTTTTGGAAAATTTATCCAGGACAAAATATTCATTATTTTGCAAGTAGTTCATGCCTGCAGCTTCGTTTCTGGATATTTTGAAAATTTGAAAATTTTAGGGGTGACAACCTTTTTTTAACTTGTACATCGTACTCTTCTTCCTTTGTGGGTTTTCAATCATGTTGTGGGAAAATAGTCTAATAAGTAACAAATAATCGCACTCATTGCGATCGCTCACAAACTCAAGTTGTAAATAAATTTCTGGAAAACAAGTCTCCAGTTAAAAAAACAAGTCTCCTGTTAAAAAAACAATGCGTTTGTCTTATTGTTTTAAATGATTGAACTGCCATCTTATTAATATCGTATGGCCGAATAGACCTACGAAATACCATGTGCTCTTGTGATATGGTATAAGGTTTATTTTTGCTTGAAACAGTTTGAGACGGTTCATGCATAAAAAAAGTTCGCTAATAAATAGTCTTTCGTCAATCCGCCGCCGTATAGCGCCGGCGTTTGTTTCCTTTTGGAAACACTTGTTTTGCTATTCTTACTAATTAGAAGTTTTCAAATCGACTTCACTTATACATTTGTATAACATTAAATAATATTTAACATTTTTAAATATTAATCAATCATAAACCTTATTTTTTTCCAAATTAAGGTTGTTGATTGTTTGATATTTACAAATATTATTATTAGGTGAAAAGATTTAGCTGTACCTACTTATATAAATGATTTTTTATAAAACAAAAAATAGTATAAAATGTTTGTAATCTCTGCATAAAAAAGTTACTTACTCTGAATTTCAAAGAAAACACGTAGAAAAACACGTAGTTACCCACTAAAAACAAGTATCCTTCCGTTTGTAACTGATGTTTGATGTCAACTAAACTTAATTAGGTCTAAACAAGTGAAAAAGGCATAAAAAAGATAATTATTTTTATAAATGGCTGATGGTACAATAGGTGTGTCATCAATGTCTGTGGCGCTGGTCACTCCAGGCGTACCATGAAATATTTGTTCGCCGCCACAGCTAAAAGTTGTCGAAAATTGGTGCCGCAAGGAATCGGTTAATATACTGGCTCTCTGTTACCCATAAAAACAACACCATAGTAGATACACTACCATTCCAAAAGACATCCTCCAGGCAAAAAAAGAGCACTAACACTGGCGTGGTCCCGAATTCATGGAAGACAGCTTTGGTCCACCCGATCCCTTCAAAAGGCGACTGCTCGAACCCGTCCAACGTGGTTCTATCGCCATCACCTCCTTGTTCTCCAAAATAATGAAGTCTATTATATACTGCCAGCTCATAAGGTACCATGAGAATCACCAGCTGATTGGTGACCGCCAATACCGTTTTGGTAGGGGTCGATCAGCTGGTGATCTTCTGGTCTACCTAACTCATGGCCGTTAGTTTAGACATAGCGAAGGCCTTCGATTGGGTCTGGCACTCCCTTGCCTCCCTTACTATGGGCTTCTCGAGAAATTGTACAATTGGATCATCAGTTTCCTTGCTGATCGGAGCATCAAGGTCGTAGTAGACGGTGCATGCTCTGATTACAAGCCTAATAATGCTGATGTTCCTAAGCTTAATAATGGGATATTTGCCATATTTGCGACGCTTGACAAGCGGATTGGCAACCGTAGTTTCTTATTTATTATTGTTATTGGGTAGAAGCTGCTTACGGTGCCCTACGGGACGATATGAGGCAGTGGTTATCCTTACAACAAAATCTCTATCTCTTGGTTTTATTATTTTTAAATAAATCCAAGAGATAGAAATTATTATTATCCATACCTTACTCATAACCATTGATTATCGTTTAATAATTATTCCTGTTTCTTTCTATTATCATTTAGTGAAAAGAGAGAGAGCTACTTAAAGCATTTCTTAAATTGACATCGATTTTTATAGGTAAATAAGTAGTAAGACTGTTAACCTGGAGCTGAGACTCAAATTTCATAATATCAAAATCTGTATAAACCATAGATATAGTATACATTAGTTTGGCAATGGCGTGTTTAGGGTGAGACCAAAAAAGAAATGTACTGGTGTGAGTGAAATGTACATGTGTGCGACAAGAATAGTGCTGCGCCATGTATCAGCTTCAATTATCGATACAGAAAGCTGTGTCTCTGTCATAAAATGAATATTATTATGTTTGAGGGCATAAAAATAAAACTACAAACAAAAAGTTTGTGATTTTTATTTTTCACCAAAAATAACTTATTTATTGTAAATATTTCGTAAGCTGCCCTTAGAGGTATTTTGCAATTTTGCTTCATACTTCAATCTAATAATGAAATAAGTTTCGATTATAAATTTAATAATTAAGTGTTTATGGTTTGAAATTGCTGGCGAATCGTACATATGTATGTCAAGTATGTTAAAAAAAATTCACAAGGCACAGTTTTTTTTTGTTTCATATCTAATTTTCTCCGAAAAATATCAGTTTTCTTCTTTTGTTTTTCTTTCTCGGGGTTTTGACTATAACAGAAACTTTTGCAGTTGAGCTATTAGGTACTGACAATATATCTCTGTAGACATATGACGATGCTTTGCATACCGGCGTCAATGCAGCCTACAAACAAATAAATATAATTGGCGTATACATTATGTACTTATCTATGATTAAAATTAATAAAATACCACCCTTTCACCTATTTCTGGTGCCAAACAACAGTGCTTACACTACCGCTAAACAGCAGTGCTTACACTGCCGCATTGAGTATAGAGAGCCTGTATAATTATAAGCTGTAAGATATTTTATCTTAGTCCTCAAGCGTGAAAACACATTTGTATCTTTCTTTGTTTGAAGATGACTGTAGGTGACCATGTACTACAGTAGCCGTTTACCATTAAGTGATACTGTAAGTTCGTTTGTTACTTTCGTTTTATAAAAATATATACATCACAAGGATGACAACAACAAGTTATACACATTTGAACATGTGTAAACGAAATGAGCATATGTACAGTAAAATATATAATTAAGAAAATACGTACGGGCATAAATAATGTGGGTATTGTCGATGGATGCAAAGTAATATTAATATTTCAATAAATTCGTTAATGCTTAGAATTAGTGCTTACCGAATTTGTTTTGTAGATTTACAGTGTTATGTTTGGTTATTTACTTTGTGGATAGGTATTATTGGCTTTTTACAGTGTTTAATAATTTAAGTAAAATGTTTAAGTATTAATAAGCTGTTGTTATCCTGAATAAAATAAAATAAAAATTGATCCAGAACGCGTCTTTACTCTTTGTGCATTTCTATGAGAAAACCATTTTTGTTCAAAGTACTTGCTACATATAGATGTATTTTTTTTTTGGTTACCCGTCCTTCTCTATTTAATCATTGTTTAGGCCAAAAATTAACCTTTTGAAAATTGAATTCATAACTCGCGACTCGGCGCATGCATAACACGGTACGAAGGTCACGGACGGCCCCTCCACGCCCGCATTCCACTCGTGGTCGGGTCGTTCGAGACGCGTCGAGAGAGTGTGTGTGAACAACTGCCGGTCGAGAGAACGTGTAGAATTTACTATTGGAGTTTTTCGCTTCTAGTTTTGGTTATCTTTAGTGCGTTCACGCGATAACAAAGCTGTAATATTTTGATTTATTAACCTAAATTCGTTGGCAAGTAATTTACGTAAATTGTATAGTGATTGCCGGTTGAAGTGCTTGACAACATTACTTTGCGTCGACGAGTTGTTTTGTGGCATTTGATGTAACTCGGAGATATTTTCCTGTGTCGGTTAAAACGCTAAACTTTGTGAACCGCGAGAAACAGTGTTCGTATTAGATTATAGATTTGTGCTAAGGGACGCTAGACTTTGAGTGACATCGAGGTGACGCCGCTGGAGGATACCACACCGTGTGGCGGTGCCGGAGTCAGGGCTGCTGCCGCTTAAAAGGGTTACGTCAGGTTTCAAATTTTACACACCACTTACATACACTACACCTACGGCCTGAACGAGCCTTGTGGCCAGTCTTCGCTTCTGAACCAAGTAAGTCGAATTAATTACCTATTACATCTATATTGATTATCCATAGGCATTTCGAGCCCCACCCTTAGTTGTCCGTCGAATCTACCGCTGATGGGCCCCGGGATATTTGACCTTTGTCGGGACAGCTAGGGGCGTGTACAATCATTTTAATCATTTTTTTTAACCTCAATATTTTTTTTGGAATTTTGAAACATTATAAGAGTTTAAATCATCTAATTAAAGTATTTACAATGTAAGAATTTACTATTTCGAATCACTAAAACGTAAAAATAGAAAATATTAAGAAAACCGAAGTCACAAGAGGCTGCATCCAAGGATATGCCTTTGCCTGTTATAAACATATTATCGTTAAGATGATATTGATGGTGTCAATCCCTACAAAAATTTGTGATCAGAAATAGGGGGGATTCACGTATTTGTTATTATTTTTAATATAATTCTCACGCATTTAGAACATTATCGTAATAAAATGCGATATTTTTCCCTATCCATTTGTGTATAAAACATTTTTACTACTTCTGAAATATCGAATTTAGAGTGCTTAAACATTTTAATTGTACTTTCATGTGAAATGTGTAATTTTGTGGATTTTCTTTTCTCAATGAACTGCATTCAGGTTCGGCTCACGTCACCATATTTAATCACACCTTTTAAATACTTATTAATACTTGAAAATCAAAGATATCGCGAAAATAAGCGGGATTCGTTTCGTTAACGATTGACGTTAGCCTGATACAGGCTGATAGCGTGTACGTGTATGGTCTAGTCATTCTATCTCGTTCTAACGTAAGCATAGGCCATGCCCTTTCTCTTTTACATTGCCAATCTAAATATATACTAAATCTATAGTATAAACAGTATGGTTTAGAGTCTAGACTCAAATGACATTATACAGTTTGAGTACAAACTCGAGATTGTCACTGAATTCAAACTTAAAGTCCACAAGTAAGAAGAGCACGTGTATATTCCAGACGTGGTGTACACGGTGTCGAGCATGCAGCTGTGCGCGGGCAGCCGCGTGCGCTGCGTGTGGCTGGGCGTGCGGCTGGAGGACGCGCCGCGCCACACCACGCTCGCCTCCAGCCTCGCCTCCACCGCCGACAACTCGCTCGTGCTGGTGCGTACTGCGTACCTACACTGTTGTGAAATTCCACACGTGGCGTACACGGTGTCTATATTATAATACCCGAAGTGTGCTTAAGTTGTAAGACACCACCATATTTTGAACACTATTTGTAACACTAAACCTACAATAAATATAATATAATACAATATATATTTAATATACGCTGCGAGTGACATGTAAGCGAAGCCCCCCCCCCCCCCTCCCCGACCCCCACCCTTTGGTGAGTAACGACCTGGTTAAAGAGGCACGAAGTCGATGGATGCAAGTGGCTCAGGAATGCAAGGCAATGTTTAAGTACTCAATTTTAAGTGTTCGAACGAGCCCGCGATCACGTGTGTATGTGTGTGTTTTTTTATAGGATAGTGTGACAAACGAGCACACAATCCACCCGATGGTAAGTGGTTACTGTGGCCCATAGACATCTACATCTATCCTCATTTGCGAAAAAATGCAGCTGCGTTGTCACCCATGAGGACTAAGATGGAATGCCTCTTTTCCAGTTAAAAGGGTCTCCGGTTCTCTACACTCACCATACGAAACACAGCAGTGTTAAGCTGCTATTTTACGTTGGTGTTCTGTGAGAGCGTGGTCCTTCCCCGGCCGAGCCGACCCATTCATGCTACAACTATATTACTAATATAGCTCCATCATGGCTCTACCACGTACAAAATGTGTGTGAATAAATGCAAAAAGTTACTTATATTTGTTGGTATTCAGACAAGTCATTTTCGTATTTTTTGTAGATATAACTAGTCATAGCGCAATTAGCTTAAAAATATGTGCAATTGTACGTTTGCACACATGAGTGCTGTTTGTTTGTTGTTTGTATTCTAAACATATTGACGGATTTTGAAATACAAGCTGTTCTTAGCTACTTCTTTGTCTCGTAAGCTACTGTATACACTTTGCACTAAAATTTTGTATTTAAAATTAAGTCTAAAGAGGTACTTGGTTAAAAAGCATTCTAACATAAAGAAAACGTTCTTCAAAAGCAGTTACTGAAAATTTTATTTTCGTTATTTTTCATTCATTTTTAAAAAAAAATGCTAGGAACGTCTTACAGTATTACATATATTAACGACAATATTACAGGGCAATAAATCGGCTGGCAGTAGACCGCAGTCTATGTCCTTGATGAGCCAGTGTGGCGACGAACAAGTGGCTGGTGAATACAGCAAACATTACGTCACACTAAAACAAATAGGTAAGTAATCTTCCATCTGCTGTGTGTCTCGTCATAAATCTTATGATTTCATGTAGTTAACAGAATACATATTATTTACCAAACCTAAAATATCATTATGCCGTGTGGTGACGATATAAGATAATCTCAATCATCCCATTTCGTATAGTAAAAGGAGACGACAAATGCTTGAAAAATGTCATCGTTCTCGATATGTGGCGCAATAATGATCTCGTTTACGCTACACACAAAATAAACAGACCGGCGACTGTAGTAGCATCAAAGGTACGAAACGTCTGGTACTTCTAACCCAAGTCACAAAGTGCATTCAAAAAGTCTTCACAGACTTGTCTTCTACTCCATTCGTAGAGGCGTAACAATTAGGCAAATCGTAATGTTGGAGTGGCCCATGTCCAGCATTGATATGATTTTACAGGCTGATAAAGAAAAAGAAAACATAAACGCGGTAGTTTGCTAATTATGATAAATTTAAACTAGATAGAGAGTTGTCTATCAATGGATTGCACCAAATACTTTGTGATAGAGAGTTGTCTATCAATGGATTGCACCAAATACTTTGTTTACCAGCAAATCGTTACTGTAATTTTAGATATTTGTAATGTTTATTTTTATACAACGATTCAAAAACCAACTCAATACTGAACATGATTAGCTGTTGCTTACATAATTAATTTGTTTGATAAACTATACTTACTACTATATTTATTTACAATAGTGGCAAACATTGTGATAGTAGCAAAGCACAGTAACAAGGATAATATTATTAAAAACATAATATAACCCTCCAACCTATACTAGAACAATATTGTATGATAAAAATGTTCTAAGTAAGTTCTAAGGCAGGTGGCCGGCGCCCCAAAATAAAGACTTATTTTAGGGCTTCATTTATGATTACAAATAATAAAAACAGGCAAAGGAGCATACGGCTGTGTCAAGATGGCATACCGTAGATCAGATCGACTTCTTACCGTCGCAAAATTTATCCTGAAGGAGAAAGTTGGCGTACATTTCTGGGTGGATGGACCTGATGGACGAAAAGTTCCATTAGAACTTAGTCTTCTATTGACATTGAAACATCCTAATATTGTAAGTATTAAGTAAATTTAAAATAATTTAATAAACGATCAAAATCGCTCTCAAGAATGATAAAGCACATGTAAGTTAATAGGTTTGATTCTCAAATAAGGCCTGCCCACCAGGCGCTATTCTTTTTCAATACCATAAGTTTTTTTTTATGGAATAGTAGCACACATAATAGAAATGTAGCATACGAACATGGAGTCCACTTGATAAAATAAGGTCACTGTAACTTTATCTACACTTAAAACGCTATAGGGCATTTTATTTTAATAAAATGCCCTATAGCGTTTTATTTTGCTGGTAACAGACAAATAATATCACAATCGCAAAGGTAATAAGCATGAAGGCACCCGCCTTGACAAGACTTAGATATAAAAGGATCTTAGACCAAGAAGCTACCACCTAGTATTCTGCAATGAGCTTAAATTTTACTCTTTATATTAGTTAATATCATGGTATTGTCTTAATATTAATATTGTCGTGTTAAAGTGGCCTAATATAATCGATCAACCTATTTTGTCCCATTGGGGTTGTAAAAAGCGATTATGGGAATTGTCAGTGAACTTAGTAAGGTAAGAAATGCAGGATGTCAATGGATGCAGATGGCTCGGGGCCGTACTTTGTGGCATTCCTTGGGGGAGGCATATGTTGATGACTTGTGAAGGGCTGTAATGATGATGATGATGTGAATAGTAAAAAGTTAGAGGCAATCTCGTACGTACGTAATTTCGTAGTCAGTGTAAAAAATACAAATCATCTGCCTCGTCTATTCTTAGTTTCTTCTTGCTGCTCTTACGTTAGTGGTTACATAAACAGACTGGCGATAAGAAGCAGCATCAAAGGTACGAAACATCTGGTACTGCGGACTTTACATAGCCCATGGTCACGGAGGGACTGAGGTAATTGGCGTCCCGATGTCAAAGTGAACCCGGAGTACCTTCAGTTTTTTAATTATTACTTCTGGTCCGATCTACGCAAAATAAACTTACTGTATCTTGAAGTCTTGCATTGGTATACTTGGGTTTAATTATATTAATTACAGGATCCCAAGCAGGTGGTAGTACCCAGCCTTCTTTATTGAATTTCTTTTTATTGCAATATTCTCACCTATCATTTTTGGTAGGAATCGATGTTCTTTCGCGAGGATTTGTGAGGTATTTCAATATCATGTAAAGGCGGGGGCCGTCTAGGATATGATCACAAGCTGCAGACTTCCCGGAGCGTTGGTGTTTCACGTCATATTCTTTTACGCGGATTTTTATAGATCTATTTGTTTGCCCTATACGGGTTGGCGATAAAGTTATCACATTAAATGAAAAGACTTATCCTACAAAACGCTCTTTGAACATACACAACTAAAAAATATATAACAAGATTCTAATCGCGGTAGCCTTTTTTTTTTGTTTTTATAGTAGGAGAGGCCCTTGAGCAGTATGGTTCGATGAAGAAGAATAAGAATCAATATTTATGTATACTCAATGAAACACGACCCTATTGTGTAAACTTTTAACAATTAAACGCAAAATTCAAATTGTCTATAAAATTCTCAACACAATATTACTTGCTTTCCAGGTGAGCGTGGTGGATGTGTTCGAAAACGACAAATATTTCCAGATGGTGATGGAAAAGCATGGTGCTGGAATGGATTTGTTTGAATTTATTGAACGTAGGCCAAGACTAGATGAGCCGCTTATTAGTTATATTTTCAGACAGGTAACAAAGTAGATAACGTATTGAATCAGGTTCTCTCACAGAACCTGATAAAATATGTTATCATATCATACATACCTACATGAGACTAAGTTAAATCATAAAAAGTTAAAAATAGTTTTTGCGTAAGACTAAACAACTGAAGTTAACAACTCGCCCGATTTAATGCAACTGAGCATCTATGTATACAAACAAGGGTTTTCTCTTGGAGGCTGGTAGTGGTTTGCAAACTCTACTCATTCTGAATACAACATCGTACACTTTCTAGTCCAGTTAGGCAATTGGATACATATACCACTATCTATTTGTTTAGCAGAACATTAACTAGGCATTGTTGATTGCGAATCGAATTCCGCTAATAAAAAGAACACATATAATAAAGAGAGAGCAAAATTACAAACATATGTGAAAATATAAAATTAAAAGACAATATTAACAGGACTCGTATTAAAACAGTAGTTGATGAAACCTCAACATTCAAAGATATACTGAGCATTATACCATCTACATTAGCTGGTGCTTGTGTATTTATTTACATATCAAAATCTTGATTTTATTGAGATATGAAAAAAAAATCTTATGTATTGTTCTCACTATGTAGATTATCTGTGCTAAGTTTCATCGAAATCAGACAATGAGTGTCAGAGGAGATAACAATAAAATTGTATTAATTTAAAGTATAAGTGATTTAAATCCCATAATCCTTGAGATACTACTATAAAATATTATTGATTTCAACCAATACAATTTTTTTGTCTTAACTTCCCCCTCCATTTTAGGTTCTTTATCTGCATAGTAGAGGCGTTTTCCATACAAACATCCATGTTACATACAGATTTTATCATATTAACGAAAATACAGAACCTTACTAATTATCCGTGAATAGCAATTATATTATCATATTTCTTCATATTTTAGTATCAGGCATATTTAATTTATATGTAAGGCAATATTCTGCAAAAAATTATGCTCACTTGTATATAAATCTTAATTATCCGTAAAACCTATTTCGCCTCTGTTAAATTTCAGATAGGTCAAGCGGTTGAATACTTGCACTCGCTGAATATCCTGCACCGCGACATCAAAGACGAGAACGTGATCATCGACAACAAGTTTCATGTAAAGCTAATCGACTTCGGCTCTGCCACCTTCATGAGCCCCGACACTCTCTTCTCAACATTCTACGGCACCACTGAGTACTGCAGCCCTGAAGTACTAGCTGGCAATAAGTATGCACATAAAAAAAGAAATAACAACATATGACATAAAAAAATAAAATTTATAATATATTACGAATATATACCGACCGTGTCTATGATCGTAGAGGATCATTAACGGTAAGAAGGGTATCTGGTTCTTTACACTCACCATATGAAAACAGCACCATGAAGCTGGTATTCTGCGAGAGTCCTTCCCCGGTCGAGCAGACCCTTTCGTTATACTGCCATAATATAGCTGAAGCTTGGCTCTACCACGTATAAAGTTTGAGTTAGAAATAGGAATTAAAGGTTGTATAATACCTCGCTAATGCAGAAATATGAGATTATTTCATCAGATTTCACTTGTCCAAAATCTATACTTGGATAACATAAGCCTTTTTTGTTATCCTTCGCGACCATGCTTTGTACCACGGTTGAATAATATTTATTTTATACACCTAAGGGCCATACATATTTTGACCCCCTCCCACCCCCCATGTGAAGGTACATAAGATTTCTCGAATCCCTCCCTCTTACGTAAGGGAAAGAGGGAATGGGGAATATCTATCTTGTTTTTGAGAATAATAAAATGTAAGAAAAGGATAAGTTACACTAAAACACAGTTTGACGTAAATCCAAGGTTTTTTATTTTTTAACAGATAATTCAGGTTACTCTTTTATTGCTATGGATTAGATTAAAGAGAGTGGGGTTAAAGCCGCCAGTTTTTGAACCACGTGGAAAATACGCGGGATTTTTAAAGTTATGAAATAATGTTAGTTTGAGTAAAATAATATGCTATTGTGACCGAAATTATTATATAACATTTTTTTAATCCTTCAGTGCTATTGTTGCTTGAAAATAAAATAAGCGTTTATTACCAAATTAGGAAGAATGTACTAGAATTATTATTTATAACATTTAATATGGATAAAGATTAAATTTTTATTTTTTATATACAAAAAAATGTAAATAATATGTATGTAAATCCAAGTGTACATTATAGAATGAAGAAAACCATTCAGCATCTGAAATGGAACTAGATTTCTAATATTAAATTTCGACGTACAAAATATTACGTAAGAATGCGTATTACCCCCCCCCCCCCCCCCCCTCCTCAAGATAAGGGCATGTGGAGATTTTTAACGCCCCGCCTTCCCACTCGGGACCCTTACGTAATTAATTAATTGCCCGCTATATATACATAAATAGTAAATTGACAACATCCAGACCCATACATTATTATATATATGGTCGGGAAGGACGCACCGTCAGTGTGTACATTTACACCATTAGAAGTTACTTTGCCCCCCTCTAATAATTTACATTAACCTTTAAAATATGTGTATATTCAAATCGCAAAGAATGTAATCTATGCTTTCAGATACGCCGGACCTGAGCTAGAAATGTGGTCAATGGGGATAACACTTTATGTGCTGACATTTTTTGTTAATCCATTTTCCGACATTGAAGACACTATACAAGGACTTCTAGCATTGCCGCAGATTGTCTCTGAAGGTGTCTAATGTTTCTTTTATCAAACAAAATATTTCACAACGATTTTAGTTACTTATTTAAAAAAAAGTTCTACAATATTTTGTCTTAAATTTTACGTTTTTCATACCATTAGATCTGTTTTAATATCTATTTTGGTTTAATTAACATTTCATGATACTTTTCCATTTAAATTTTACAGATTTGGAGCAACTTCTTCGTTGGATGTTGTGCAAGGAACCAGCACACAGATGTACGGTAGCTCAACTCATGTCACATCCATGGATAAAACAACCTGTAGCCATCACCAACTACATATTTCATGAAATTGTTGACTGTGGTGAGTATTTAAAAAAATCGTAAATATGTTAGAACTTATTTTAAAATTTATACAAAACCTTATTATTTAGCTTCCTTGGGAACTACTGAAGACTACATCTGACAGCACACTAAAGAATCTTATCAATTTTGTTAACATAATATTATCTATAATAAAATTCTATCATTTGTGCCGCGCTAAATTTGGCCGCGTCTCGCTGCATTAGCCTAACGATGGCTTTTATATACACGGATTTTGACCCGGAGCCTGACTGGCATTGTAAGATCATTAATTTTTATTTATCTACTAGCGATCCGCCCCGGCTTCGCACGGGTGATATCTGAATCTCCAATCCAAATTTCTGAAAGTCCAATTGTGAATCGCTTAGATCATCCACTCACAAAACGAACGAAAAACGATCATTTTCCTAATTATTCGACAAGTTATGATCCCGGTAAAATTATGCTTACTTTACATTATCTCATATATAGGCTTTTTGATTTGTATGAATATGACTATCGACATAGTAATGCAGTTATTTTTGTTTGAATTTACAACTTATTTATTTTCTTTTAGTGGAAATTAATGGGACTGTAATTAGATAATGGAGTATGGAGTGCATAATGTCAGCCGCCCGGCTGTTATTTGGTTTGACGTATATATAAGATGTACCTAATTTCAGCCACGTAATATAAATCAGAGCTGCCATAAACTGGAATAAATACCATTAATTAGATCATAACTTATTTTATAGCTAAGGGAGTTATGATCAATTCGTCTGTTTTAAAATTGGTTTTAGATTTTAAAGTTTAGCAAAACATGTACTAGCTTTTCTCTCTGACATTCGGCGTATAGAACATCTTATGTACTCAATAATTTTTTTTTGAAAAAGAAGAAAAAACAAGCAATAAATAAAAACAAAAACGGGCCAAAAACTCATAACTGACTTTTTGACAAGACCCGGGATTCGAAACCGAGACCTCATGATCAGCACTCGCACTACTACAACCACTAGACCAACGAGACCGTACTATACCTAATAAGATATTGTGGTTGGGTGATAATATTGAATTAGCCTTTTGTAGTGTAAATTATAATATTTGTCGAAATTTTAATTATGGATTCGAACCTTACATGCTAATGGTGCTTCATTTTTTTATTTGCATTTACTTCAAAGAAAATACACGCAAAAAGCTTCATCGCGCAGTAAAAAACACAACAAATATATATATAACTAATACGAAAAATTATACCCAAAACAAACAAATAATACTACCTATAAATAACCTAATAAGTAATATTATTATCGACTAATATGACGTGAGTGTATGTGCTGGTCGACGCTCTAACGACACGGGCTTCGCGTCGAAGAGCTCAGGGCTCACTGACTTCAGCAAGCCCGTGAGCAGTGAATATGCCCAGATTTTAAAATAAATTCTTAATAAAATCAAATTTTGGTCTTTTGAAAAAAAATTTTCTATAGAAATATTCATTAATAAATTGCCTATCCATTGGTGTAAATCGCAAAATAAAATAATACTTACTTTACGAGGAGATGCATGTTATCAATAATAATTTCACATTTATGTGGTTTCGTTGTAAGGAGATTATATTAATATTTATTCCTTTAAAAAAAAATTGGATATAGCTTTTATGGAGTCAAGATTATGTAGAAATATAATGTGTTTTTTATTTGTTGATATATCTTTTAAATAAAAAGTAGATAGCTTCTAAAAACAGGACAAATAACGACTAGCGCGACATTTTGCTCAACCTGCGCCTTAACTTGTTCACTCGGAAAACAGCAATCGATTTTAACATTCACATAATATTCAGAATTCAGTTTATTTTTTCCTTACTCTATGCAAACAATTGTAATGGATAAGTGGTTAAATAGGTATGATATGGTGTTTAATTAGTACAATTTGAATTTGGTAGCCAATATAAGCAAACAAAACAGTAAAAAGAAAATAAAGTTTGTTATTCGAATTACAGGCATATAGCAGGTTTAAATATAACTGCGCGTATAATAATTTTTTCGGGAATAGTACAGGTATGATTTGTTTAATGTTTATTCACGCTCCGTACGAATAATCAAGTTTACTAATAGTTAATGTTTTTTTTTTTTTACACAGATATGTAGGACTGACGAAAGAAGTTTCAAGTCAATTGCTCATTAAATTATTTTAAAAGTACAAGTAAATATTAATTGTATTTTAAAATATACTTTTAGCGTATTGAATTCATCACAATTTTTATTATAAAGATTTTAAAGACTATTCTTCATAAGTCCCATAAAAGCTGCTCGCAAATCTGTTTTCTTCATGTTGTTGAATAATAATAGTTCGCGCGTTTCTAATTAATAAGCTAGTGTTTGGAAAAGAGTGGTCTGGTTTGACTGCATTAACTTCTGTATAAAATTTATGTAGATAACACGTTTCTGCAATAAATAACTTAATTGGGTTCAAAATTAACAACTCAAACTTTTTCTAGTTTCGGCAAAAATAAACTTAATTAAAAAACTTATTTCATTGTGTAAACTGACATATTTTTGAAAGTATTTTCAACGAAATATGAAGCCATAACTGAAATAAGCCCCCGAATTGGTTTTATTTATTAACGAGGATAGTAATTCAAATTATCGTGATTAACTGAAAAATAAAACATGCTAAACTTCGTAACGCTATGGAATAAGCGATCCCCGTAGCGCCAGATTCTGAAGTTTATATGTTATATTCCAGAAATTCTCTAATTTATTACGACCATTAATTCTTTTTTTCCTCTCTTTATTTATTTAGGGATTTTTGTTTGTTAACATTTCAATCACCACTCTATCACTCTATGATGAGAGATCTATGGTGAGGAATGAATTGTGGTCAGCACTGTCCGTGAACGGTGTGAGCAGTATCCTCATACGAGCATTGCAATCTCTTTATAGGGATTCTAGTGCTTGTGTAAGGATAAACGGGGCATACACTGAATGGTTTAATATCGAAAAAGGTGTTAGACAGGGATGTGTAGCGTCACCGTGACTGTTAAATCTGCTCATAGACAATGAGGGCATCCACGACTTTTTCTGCCTCCAGGGCGGCGCCACTTTACAGTGAGGTAAAATATTTAACAGATTTCACAGCGGGGGACGATAATTTCTTAGGAAAATGTAATATTTAAGGTTTCTTTCCGTATTGTTAGTTATATTTTATATAAATTACATTAGAAATGAATAAACTAAACTATAAATATAACTTAAAGTAGAAAAATTAAAACAGAGAGTTATAAAGTGCCAAAAATTAAAAATCAAACCACTGACGCATTGTGTTGTATATTAATATAATACTCTAGGTAACTACTAATTAAAACTAATTTATAAATTAACTAACACTAAATGTAACGAAATACTTTACCTCAGTCACAACTAGCGACATCTGGCGAGTGGAAGATTATTAGCCCTCATTGCTTGACAGATTTAAAAGAGAATGAAAGTGGGTTGAGAATGAATGAGTTACTCGTCAACTGTTTTCTCTATGCTGATGACCAAGTATTACTTGCATCTTCGGCCGAGGAGTTGCAGGAAATGGTAACTGCAATGAGTGGATCTTTTGTTACAAAGAGAATGAAGATGAATGTAAGGAAGACGAAAGTGATGGTGTTTGAAAGAGATGAGGCAGTGACAGACTGCATAATCGTGATTGGAGATGAACAAATTGAACAGGTGAAAGAGTTTGTGTATCTGGGTTCAAAGTTTACAAGAGATGGAAAGTGTGAGAGTGATATCGAAAGAAGTGTGAATGCAGGAAACATGGTGAATGGAGCTTTGCACTCCTTTATGAGCAGTCGGAAGGTGTCTAACAAGGCTCGTTGGGCTGTGCATGAGGGGGTGTTGGTTCCGACGCTCATGTACGGAAGTGAAAGTTGGGCATGGCAGAAGAAACATGAAAGCAGAATAAATGCAGTTGAGATGAGAGCGTTAAGAGGTATGATAGGAGTTAAACTGAGTGACAAGATAAGAAATAGTGAGATAAGGAAACGTTGTGGTCTGAAAGAAGATGTAGTGACAAAAATTGAGAAAGGTATGCTGAGATGGTTTGGCCATGTCGAGAGAATGAATGAAGAATGATTGACGAAAAAAGTGTATAAGGCGAGTGTGAATGAAAGTGTTGGAAGGGGTAGACCTAGGCGGACGTTTCTAGACCAAATCAGGGACGTCTTGAAAAAAGGCCAGGTCAAGAGTATCCTAAACCGAAGAAGCATGTATGAAGGGAATAATGAAAGTGGACTAAGCGAAACAAGTATGTAAGGATCGTAGCAAGTGAAAAGAAATGGTCTCTGCCTAACCCTATGGGAAAGAGGCGTGATTATATGTATGTATGTACATTTCACTCCCATTATAACTAACTTAGAATCTATACATTTTATGTAAGTTTTCGTAGTCCAGAAGTTTCACAATTAGGTGAATCAGTTCTTTTCATCAGATAAGAATATTTTTTTTTTTTGATGGAATGTGACCTGTTCTTATTCTCAATATCACTTTAATAATATTTCTATTTAATTTCGTATCTATAAACCAATGTATTCGGGGCGGTTCACTCTGTATTGTTTTGAACCAAATACCTTTCGTTTTAGAGCGTTTATCGAAAAATTCATTCCATTCGATATAACATGAGTTTTTGAATTGTGACAGTACTTCTGAGTAGCAAGGGTTAATATTATACTCTACACCATTTATACAAGCAGAATGCGCTAATCTATCTGCCTCCTCATGATCCAATAGACCAATGTGTGATTTAATCAATTGCACCCTTGCACAGATATCGCGTAGACAATATCAATGCGGGACAGCCAAGTGCTAAGCGAAAATGATTCGAGAAAAGGAGATCAATGTATCTTCATAATTTTAGTCTTATTGCAAGATTTAACTAATAGGGGGATTTTCTTGTGTTGCCAATATCCTGTTTCACAGAGAGTGCTAAGTTGCTTCAACAAATCAATTGTAACATTATTTGAAAATGAGCTGGTTTTTA